GCAAATACTACGCACTTTTCTCTCAGTGCACATAACTGATTTTACGAAAGAACTACTTTAAGTAAAAATTTGTAACATGTTGCAACTTCAGCTGCCAAAGCGGTTGATCAATATCAATTACCGTAAAGGTGGTTGCTACACGACGACGCAAATAAATTATTTATTTTACTTTTTTATCCTTAAATTGCAATCGTTTCAGTAGACGTCAAATAATAAAACTAAAGACAAATTTGTATAAGAAGTAGCTAGTTAAATGGAACTTTTCGTCTTCAAAAATTGTGACACGTTGGTTTGCAGTTCGATTTACTTGATAAGGACCTGATATTTGGATCGAAACGTCGCACCAATTGTAACAATTAATTAATTATATTGCCAGTTGGATCAACAAGGAGTTTCATTTCAATTTTTATTCATCACTGGTGACTTTTTAAATATACTCCTCTACTTGGTTCTCAATTTTTCCTCTTCAAAACACGCATCGTTCAATATTGACGTTGGGCGAGAGCGCGAAATGTTATTCGCGTTTGTAACTTTGCAACATAATCCATTATGGTATGTGCGTAGGCTCTCGAAATAATGGATCGTACATCTTTTATGACTTTAACTATTCCGCCGTGCATCACGCGCGGGCCGTCCAATCCTGTAATGCTACGCTGACAGAGAAACGTCGCCTAAGAAAAGAAGTTGTTAAAATTGCACGACTTACCGATGTGTCGAGCGCCGGAAGGATCGAGCGTAAATTCTGAAACACAAAGGGAGAGGAACTTTTAGAAACGTAAGGAAAGAGAAGTGGCGGTCTCCCCACCAATCGTTAATCTTCCATGAGGGAAACATTCGTCCCGACTCACGAGTGTTCGAAACTTGAAACCTCTCCGCCAACCCCCCTACGGCGAACGTACAAGGCATTGAGGATCCCCGTCTCCGATGTACCCGGCATTTATCGTTTGAAGAAGACGAATACGATTCAGTCGAGAAATTCTCGTCGAAGCTCTCGAAATGCTGGATACGTTGAAAGCCTCAAAGCTCCGGAGGAGGACAAATCCCATCTTATTTGGAAATATTTGTGCGCGTGCGACGCCAAGGGGGAAAGGAAAAGGAAACAAAGGAGGAAGGAGACATGCCGAGATATCGATCGTGAACGCCGGTTCTTTAACGAAACACGAACCGCGCCGTAAGAAATATTTAATTATTATCAACGTAAAGACCGAACAATGCGCGCGTACGAGATTAAATCTTGTCTTAGATCGTCGGAAATTCCGCGTTCGGCAAATTACGCGTTCCATTCCTGGAGGAACAATACAGCATTGTTGACGGGTGGCTGATAACAGGCTCCCGTCACCGCGCCCGAAGATTCACGGTGTTTTCACGGCCCGACAGATTTTGTCGCCACGTGAAAACGACAGATTTTTCCTTCGCCATTGATCACAGCCAGCCAAATCGGAAGACAAACGAGGCAAACACAGGCCGGCAGATCCGGCTGTCGCAGCCACCCTGTTTCGAACGAAAGAGAGAACGAGGGCACAGGTTCCGTCCGCCCGCCGGCAATTACAGGCCGCGGATTTGCATGAAAGTTGAAAAAAAAGCTTTTTTCCCGTTAGGCGTTATCTCCTTTTCATCTCTTTCTCCTACCCCCCCCCCCCTCTCTCTCTTTCTCTCTCTCTCTCTCTCTCTCGTTGCCTGTGATGCGCAATTTTTGACTCTGATCGACGGCTATACGTATTTGAATATGAACAACCATTATTACTTGTGGGCAAAAACAGCAGAGAAAAATCAAACCAAAGAATAAATAAAATTTCAATGATTCAAAAAAATTGCATAACAAAGACAAGAGTATATAAAATTACGGGTGATTGCTGCAAAGTCATCAACTGCTGTACGCAGTCTTGTAATTGCTAAAATTCAATATCAAATCTAAAATGGTGTAACTGGATCGAAAACGATACAATGGGAGCAAGCGAGGGGGAAACCGCTGAGCAAAATCTTGTACACCAATGCCCACTATATAATGCCCGGTGGGCATTACTTTATTTTATTATCTTATTTATCTTGTTTTATCTTGTTTTATCTTATTATACCTTTCTAATGCCCCAGCAAGGCCTATTGCCCAAACTAATGCCCAAAAAGTGCCAAGTAATGCCCAGTAATGTCGCAAATCTGTACACCAAATGCCCTCAGCGGTTTCCCCACCGGGAGCAAGTCATCGATTTCATCGTCTGTGCACCGCAAAATTAGAAGGCAAATGCGTTCAAATCTCAAATCGCATTGCTCTCCGTCGAAATATGACGAGCCGCTCCGCGTCAGATCATTTTGTTTCGTCGCACTTCTCGTAAAGACACCGATTCGATTGCACACAAGTACAATTCTACACTTGTGCTGATAAAGGGAAAAAAACGGTTTTCGCGGCAAACGCGTAATTAAAGTACGCGTTGCAAGCGATGGCTATCGGCATCGTAACACTGGAGAGAGAGCGTGCACTCGATACATTAGATCGCAAACAAAGCGGGCTCGGTTGAATTCCGCCCCGGCGGTAGATAACACGCGAAACGCGCTTCACGAGAGTTTACACCTTAAACGGCCCGGTTCTCCCACGTCCCGCACACATCATTAGGTCTGCAAAGCGACCGTAGAGATTTTCCAAAATTAAAGCGCGTTATTATCGGGAGCGCGCTCTCACGTGTGAGCGGACGCGCGCGGGTTCGATTTCACGGGCCCGTGGCTACGGCGTCGCGTAAAAGTGTCCGAAAATGTGCACAGGCTGGCACACGTGCAGCCATCCAGGAGAATACCACGGCGCTTCCGCGTTCCGTCTTTTTCAAAGGGCTCTCCACGGCGTGAAGAACGTTCCGAAAGAATTGTGAGCGTATTTTCGGCCTCCGAATACATTTTCTTCATCGAAAAGTTGGATTAAAAAGAATCGAAATGTAATCGTAAATTGTTAGGTTTAAAATGAGAATTATTATAAATATGAATTGTCGAAACTTGATAATAAAACTTTAACAATATTTATCAACCCACAGATCAATTCGATATCGCTAGTAATTAAAACCAATGATGTATAATTTATGCGCATATATGCATTTCAATCTTGACTGGTTCTTTCAAATCATCGCGCTAAAGTACACCCAGAGAAAAAATTGGTTCAAGTTAACTAAATAAGATACATGCGTTGAAATCTCACGTTTCTTTGAATCTACTAAAGTTTTATTTACTTCTGCCAAAATATTTGCTAGATTTGATAAAATTTTTATGAATTCTCTCAGAGATTCCGGTCTTAATCAAATAACATAAAAATTTTGGCTAAGGTAAAGCAATAATTTCCTTGAAATTAAATAAAAGTCTGGTAAGGTCAAAGTTCAAGGAAAATGTGTTTGATTTCAAAGGAACTTCTTTCTGAGTTTATAGCTAAAAATGTGGCAGTTATATTAAGCGCGAGTAAAATTGTCGGGCATTCATGAAATTTAAATGAAAGTGAGAAACTGTATGTGAATTTTCCGATCCAATTGTAAATTCCGAGTGACAATGTCAATGTTAGTTACGACTCAGTGTCAATGTCAGTCACTATAACTCAACGCCAATATCAATTACCGCGCAATCCAAGATAACGCCCCGCCGTTTCGACCGGTTGAATTACGTATAAGGATCGACTTTATATCATTCTTGACAATTTCGTTAATTCACATTTAATGCATTTATTCGACTTCTCTCTTTGGCTCAACCCGAAGCCCCGTTTCGTTTGCTTCGCGTTTATTTCAATATTTTATCATCAACTTAGATAGATACAGAAAAGAAAGACTCGTCTTTCCGTTATTCAAAAACACCTTCCACTCTTTCTGTGTCGTCGAAGGAAAAATGTTCCTCTCGACGTAATAATTCAAAACTCTCGCGAATACGAGCAACGATTGTTAGAAAATATAGTAATATCAGCAAATGAAAATTATAATGTGTTAAATGAATAAAGAAAATTCAATACCTTTCACTCTGGCTGAGATAGGCTCCTAATATGAGACAGCGGAGTTTCAGCTAAATTAAAATACCTATAGGCATTGTCTGTTGGTTTCATTATAAATTTACTGCCCTTGAAATGAGTTTAGTGGAAAATTGATTGTTAGATCGTGTAATCGTTGCGAGAAAAGATTTGTGATTAAATTTGGACGTTGAAAAACTGCTACCTCATATTAGAATCCTATCTCATAATAGGGGACTTCATTTCGCAATACATTTAAAATAAGAATTGTTTAGACACTAACGTCCTGTCACGGCACTTTAGTCTTTATTCCTTCGTACTTGTGCTTATCGCGCGAGAACCTTACGAATTTTACTAATTTGTCAATATTTTGTTTTATTTATAAGGAGAAGCACCAGAGCGCTCTGGCAGATAGCACGGACTGAATCTCCAGCACGGAGCGAATTTACATGTTAACTTGGTTTTCCGCTGCCTTTGCGGGTCCGTGCGCTTTGCCATTTGTAGTGTAAAATGGAGCTCTTGTGCAGGTGCACGGCGTCATATGAAACAAATTGCAGTGCACGTAATAAAGCCGGCATTCATGTGCGCAAACGCGCACGCGCGCATACGCACGGAGCAATCCACGATTTATTAAATCGCAATCAGGATAATATCTTTTTTTCTTCGATTTCCAGTAGCCGCATGTAAAGCGTAGATAAATATCGTTAGCTCGTCAACGTTTCACGTACACCGAGAAACATTTTCATCGGATAAATCAATTAAATAGCGTTCCCGACGGTAAATTTTTCCGATTGCGTATTCCGATTAAATTATGGATACATGAAATTCGATCGAGAAACCGATCACATTTTTCATCGGACACAATTCAATCGGATATATCCGTTTGTTATTATGCAATTGGATTATCCGATTATATTCAATCGGACATTTTTCTCAGTGTACAGACAATTCGCACCGACGTCTAATTAATCTACGGGCGTACACTGATAAAAATTTGAACCTCATTTTACTGTGAAAATCGGTGGTCATTTTTAACCTTCGATTTACGATGCTAAAATACAAAGTGATTTGTAATTTTACTTTAAAACGTTAAAATTACCATTCAAATGAAATTATGTTTCCGTTAAATCATGTAATTTTAACATCGGACAGTAAACTGAAAAATATTTAACGGAAACATAATTTCATTTGAATGGTAATTTTAACGTTTTGAAGTAAAATTACAAATCACTACGTATTTTAACAGCGTAATTCGAAGGTTAAAAATGACCACCGATTTTCACAGTAAAGTGAGGTTCAAATTTTTATCAGTGTAGCTCGGCCAAAAACTCGGAAGCAAAATCCAGTCTCGTAGAGTATAAAAGGGTATAAAGAGGTTAACCTACTGGAATACTTGCCCTGGCTTCCACGCGGGCCTCCTTTTATACCCTACGAGACTGGA